GGAAATGTTCTACATTCGTATGCACCAATACATCTGTCAGTATTTATTTAAAAAATGTGTATATCACATTATATTACACATTTTTATTACTGATAGTATATATATATATATACAATATATGTGTGTGTGTGTGTGTGTGTGTGTGTGTGTGACAACACGATCATAATAGTCGAAGCAAAGGTTTTCTCTGCTCGACATTTGCTCGCGTTGCATACTCCAACTCACTCGGAGGCCCGTATTCAATACGCGCTTACAATGATGTTAGCGCTCTAACATGCTATAGTATACTTCACGCATACTATAGAATTTCAAAGATAAAAATGCGTTTTTATCAATAAAAACACGTACTGAATACGGAATGAGTAGGAGCTACCATATGTGTGATTGCATATGATAGATGTAAACAGCACGCGGTCAGCGGCGGCTCGGGGCAGCGGTGCGCGGCCAGCGGCGGCTCGGGGCCAGCGGCGGCGCGCGGCGCGCGGCAGGCAGAGGGCGTAAGTGAACGGTCACAAATCTGTTGTACCGACCTCGATCAAGTTCGGCCGTAGCTCCAGCATCCCCTTAACTCCATTGAAAAAGGAGGACGCGGGACAAAGCTTGGCAACAAGCCCGGATTAAGGGGAGGGGGCTAGGAGGGGATATAGCCCCAGGCCCCACGGAAATAGGGGCCCCCGTTATATTAAAGAAAAAATTTTAATTCTTTGATTAAAATTAAAATTAAAATCATTCAAAATTACTTTTAATTTAAAAAAAAATTAGTTTTTATTCCCTTAATATATAGTAATAGTAGATGCTGTCCCATATATTTTATTTCTCTTTTTAAAGTACATTTCTCAACAAAATTAAAGGATCACTTGTACCACCCTGCAAAAATAGGTGAACTTTGAGATAGAATAACTTTGTGAAAAATCATCGTATCGAGATGTTTAAGAAAACATTTTAAAGCTTGAAATCTCTACTTTTCAGACCTGTACTTGTAAAAACGATCTTACTGATATTTCGTGAAGTCGCATAATCATAAATGAAAGTGTATCAAACCTAAAAATTTTTTACAAAATTTGCCAAGTTCCACGGAGCCAAAAAAATTGTGCACAAATGCGGTTTACAGCTTTCGAAAGAGTGAATCTTT